AATCTTGCTACATTTGTTTGCTTCATGCTTGAACTATGGTTTCTTATATGGCATTTACTTTTTTCCTGGACTTTCTAGTTGCCTTTCTTTTTTGCTTTGGAAAATTTGGGGACTTTTGTTTTATCCTTGGTGTTCTGAAATTTCACCAGCATACATCTAAGATATGAGTCTCTTTTTATTTATTTTGCTTAATGCTCTCTTTCTCTCCACTGCTTCATCTCAAAAACCTCCCCCACGCTTTCATTTGTTATTCAGCTTTTACACACTTCACATATCCATTTGCAGTTTTCATAGATTTTCGTTAGGTTCCTTCTCTTCCATCAGACTATGAGTTACTTGAGTCCAGGGCTTTTGCCTTGCTCCACTTTATATCACTCACCTAGCATGGTAACTAGGGCAAAGGATAGATATAATAGCAAGATCTAAATGTTTTACTTCCTATATGCTTCCTGGTGACAAAAGTAATTAATCACAAGCTGGTAAATTGGATTTTAAGAGACAGTTCTTTTAAGCTTTCAGTAGTGAATGATGAACATTAAAATAATACCTACAAGGCAGGACAGGAAACATGACTGTGTTCCAATGCACAATGCCCAGAACAACATGAAACAGTGTATGGCGTTTCTTTGCCTCCTAAAATGCAGACTGTGCTGAAAGAAGTATTCATGACCTAGAACAGAGCTGCTTCAATCATAAGAACAAGCTCAAGCTCTTAGTACAATTTGGCGTCTAAGTTTACTTCCTTGACTATTTGACTTATGCGTTATAGCTTTTCTCCTGAGCTTTCATAAAGAAGGAACTAGAGAAGTCTATTTAAACTTCTTAGCACAAGATGTTAGTTAATTGTAATGGTTTCTCTGACATCAAGTGTCAGAATAACATTTTCCCCTAGATATAACCTTAACTATGACCTTAGGGTCTCATGGAGTGAGCAACAATTGCATGCTGGAATTTAAGAGCTGCAAGAAGTTTTTCATCCCTCCAAAATATCTATTGAAATGTTATCTATATTAAACCTTCAATTGTTTAGCTTAAAAGTTTAAGAAACAAACCTTTTTAATACCTGAAAAGCACTATTATATAAAGTCCAATTGCAGTATATCTTGTGCTCTGGAAACTATATGGAACTTAGATGGTTTTGAGAAACATAGTTTGAAAACCACTGCAAAGGTCAAGGCTATATCTGCACATTGCATAAAAAACTGAAATATATTTCTAGTCAGTGACTCTCCAAAGCAGAGAAATTTGAGATCCTTTTCTAAGAGAAGATTTTTCTGTTTCTTTGGGCATAAGGAGTCTTTCTGTACCCCACAGAAAATAGACATGGAATAGGTACACCAAAGATTCTTCAATGTGCCTCTACACAACTTCTCACAGGGCAAACTCTGATCTTGGTTACCTCCTTACAATATCCTAATACCCCTCAGATGCAGGAGCTTCAATAAGATTCATATGAGTTTTAAGAGGGGCTCCATAAATAGAAATTGAAGTTTAGACAGCCAAGAGTCTGCTAGCTCTCTGGATGATTCCAGTCCAGCCCCCACACTACCCGCTGCCTGCACCTGATTGGCCTTTTGGATAATTGATCGCAGCTGGTGGCTTAATTGGGCTTGTCACAGGAAGGCCAGCTCCTTCTAGACACAAGGTTCCATCCTGCCACTGTGCCCTTGGGGCCAGTAAACTCACTGGGAGGAAATCTGACTCCCACTTCTTTAGTTGAAGAACTTGGGGCATTTCCTAGATGGGGCTCCATGCCAGGGATCTGGCCTCAGCTTGGTGGGCTTGAGAGGAGAATGCAAGGGCCCTTCCTTCTACTCTGAGTCTTCTAGCCTCTCTCCCTAGCTTTGTAAGATTTGCTTTTTGAGGTTTCATGAGGTGGAGGTGGTTTGCTTTAATTCCAGTTCATAATAAGTCGGATCTGGCCTCAGCTTGGTGGGCTTGAGAGGAGAATGGAAGGGCCCTTTCTTCTACTCTGAATCTTCTAGCCTCTCTCCCTAGTTTTGTAAAATTTGCTTTTTGAGGTTGCATGAGGTGGAGGTGGTTTGCTTTAATTCCAGTTCATAGTAAGTCAGTTTAAATTAATAAAAAGTCACAAGTTACAGTGGTTCTCAACCTTCTGGCCCTTTAAATACAGTTCCTCATGTTATGACCCAACCATAAAATTATTTTCGTTGCTACTTCATAACTGTAATGTTGCTACTGTTATGAATCATAATGTAAATAGCTGATATGCAGGATGGTCTTAGGTGACCCCTGTGAAAGGGTCGTTCGACCACCAAAGGGATCGCGACCCACAGGTTGAGAACAACTGCACAAGTATATGGCATTAAATTATTTTATTAAATTCAAGTCATCCCAATAGCAAGGTATCTGGCCCTTTTATCCCATTTGATGAACCATTTATCCATTGTGAAGAGTTAAGAGATGATATCAAACTTTTAGCCCTTCATGACTGAGGCAGGAGAGGGGCTGGTCATGATCTAGACTAGAGCAAGGCCATGTCTTGCCAAAGTGGCCATGAGGGCTCTGTGAGCAGCAGAGGGCCAGCCCTGGAAACTAAGTCTTCCTTGTTCATCTCATCAGGACACAATCTGATGGGCATTCTTAAGATATAAACTTAACTATGACCTCAGTTAGGGTCTCCTGGAGTGAGCAACACGTGTAAGCTGGAATTTTAGAACTTCAGGAAAGTTTCTCATCCCTCCAAAATATCTATTGAGATGTTATCCAAATTAAACCTTCAGTTCTTTAAGAGCTTTAGCCCATTTCATCCTTCTAGCAACTGTAAAAAAGACACTGCTTCCTTGAAGATGAGAAAGCAGATACGGAGGGTTGGAAATGGAAATAGTTAATGAAAAAGTTATCTAAGTTGGCAGGGCAGGACCCAGAGAAATTAGGCGTGTCAGAAAGCTACCATAAGAGGCAAAACTAGGTAAATCAGTGTTACTGCATTGTGAATCCATGGGGCAGGGCTGAGTCCTCATCTTCCTTGATAGTTATGTCAACTTAGAAGGAAATATGGTCAGTTTCAAACTCAAATAGAATCTGCTATCAAGAAATCAAATATGTGTATCTGAAGCTCAGAAAGGGGTTCTGAGGTGGACAGGGAGATTGGACAATCATCAGTCCATTGGCAGTAGTTGAGTACATGAACATTGATGAGGTCAACCAGTGACCAACTGGTAAAGGAGCTTCAATGCCAGACTCTTTGGAAGAATTGACAGAGACAAATGAGCTCTCATAGAAACATACTCTCTGTGCCTCTCTGTCTCTTACACACACACACACACACACACACACACACACGCGCGCGCGCGCGCACGTGTGCAAATAGTATGACTTTCAATGACAAATTAAAGCTGCCATGTCTTGCCAAAGTGGCCATGAGGGCTCTGTGAGGAGCAGAGGGCCAGCCCTGGAAACTAAGTCTTCCTTGTGCATCTCATCAGGACACAATCTGCTGGGCATTCTTTAGATATAAACTTAACTATGACCTTAGTTAGGGTCTCCTGGAGTGAGCAACACGTGTATGCTGGAATTTAGAACTTCAAAAAAGTTTCTCATCCCTCCAAAATATCTATTGAAATTTTATCCAAATTAAACCTTCAGTTCTTTAAGAGCTATAGCCCATTTCAGTCTTCTAGAAACTGTAAAAAAGACACTGCTTCCTTGAGAATGAGAAAGCAGATACGGAGGGTTGGAAATGGAAATAGTTAATGAAAAAGTTATCTAAGTTGGCAGGGCAGGACCCAGAGAAATAGCAGCAAGAGAAAGAGACTCAATTACCTACAAGGGAATACCCATACGACTGTCAGCTGATTTCTCAACAGAAACTTTGCAGGCCAGAAGGGAATGGCAAGAAATATTCAAAGTGCTGAATACCAAGAACCTACAACCAAGAATACTTTATCCAGCAAAGCTATCATTCAGAATTGAAGGTCAGATAAAGAGCTTCACAGATAAGGAAAAGCTAAAGGAGTTCATCACCACCAAACCAGTATTATATGAAATGCTGAAAGGTATCCTTTAAGAGGAGGAAGAAGAAAAAGGTAAAGATACAAATTGTGAACAACAAACATGCATCTATCAACAAGTGAATCTAAGAATCAAGTGAATAAATAATCTGATGTACAGAATGAACTGGTGATTATAATGAATCAGGGACATAGAAAGGGAATGGACTGACTATTCTTGGGGGGGAAAGGGGAATGGGAGATGCGGGAAGAAACTGGACAAAAATCGTGCACCTATGGATGAGGACAGTGGGTGGGGAGTGAGGGCGGAGGGTGGGGTGGGAACTGGGAGGAGGGGAGTTATGGGGGGGAAAAAAAGAGGAACAAATGTAACCTGAACAATAAAGATTTAATTAAAAAAAAATAAAGCTGTAGAAGCACATTAAAGCAAAATAAAACAAAAATATTTATGGGAATAAAAAAATAAACAAACAAACTGAAAGTTCAGCAACTCCATCCGGAAGTCAAACTAACTGTGGTGGAGACATTTGTCGCCGATATACTGCAGTACTTCCAGGCTGACAAAACCCTGATTTTGTGTACTCTCTTCTGAGTGGTCAAAACAAAAATATTTATGGGAATAAAAAAATAAACAAACTGAAAGTTCAGCAACTCCATCCAGAAGTCAAACTAACTGTGGTGGAGACATTTGTTGCCGACATACTGCAGTACTTCCAGGCTGACACCCTGATTTTGTGTACTCTCTTCTTAGTGGTCATCTCCTTCAAGAAAGGTGGACCCCACCCCATGATCATGAGATTCTCATCTCATACCCCAATAAATGGGTAAACATGAACACCTTATATTATTCTGACCAATGTGACGAGAGAAAACATGGCAAAGTTTTTTTAAAAGAATAGTTTATTGATTTTGAGAGAAAGAGGAAGGGAGAAGCGAGAAACATCAATATGAGATGGCTGCCTCCTGCCTCTTGCACACCCCTAACTGGGGATCGAGCCCATAATCCAGGCATGTGCCCTGACCAGGGATCAAACCAGCAACCTCTGGGTGAACAGGGCATCGCCCAACCAACTGAGCCACAAGTCAGGACTGGGAAAGCTTTATACCTGTTCTTTAAAAGGAATATGTGGTAGGGAGAGGTATTTCTTTTTCGAACAATATCTCTCAATGTTGTCCTGTCCTGTCTGTGTGTGACTCCTAAACATTTTGTGGCCTTGAGAAGAGAAGGCCAAGGACAAAAGCCAATTCGCTGAGGATGCCTTTTCTTCAAACACTGGTGTTCCAAAGATGAAAGGTAATTTGACTGTTGATGCTGTCAACAAACCACTGAACTACCACCCAGAAAACCTCCATCATGGCACCATGTTACAGAAAATGATAAATGTCTTTATTGTTTAAGCTCCTTTTTGCTTGGCTTTCTGTTACTTGCAACCTAAATGTATCCTAACTAATACATTAACAAACCCACAGTGGGAAAACTTATGGGTGACTTAATAATAAATCTAGCATAGCCCTTACTAATTGTCAGGCATGGTTCTACAAGAGCTTCAGCCCATTTCATCCTTCTAGCAACTCTAAAACAAAAAGGAACTATTGGCTTCCCAAGTAAAACTTCAACAAGCTTTGTCCATACTACTGTTTTCTTCATTTCCTAGGAGAACTTAATTACAGAGAGGTAAAATCACTTGTTCAAAGTTACAGAACTAACTGGTGGTAGAACTCTTATTATAAAATCAGACAGTCTGGTCCCAAAATCCAAGCTTTCAACCAGGATGTTAGAGTGCTTCTCAGATAAGCAAATAGGAGCTGGGCTACTCCTATTCAAAGTCAGTTACTGGAACCATTAAGAACAGCAAAGGAGAAGTCAGACCAACCAAGTTTTCACTTCCTTTTCAGCTAAATTCTTTCCACTCACTCTCCCCAACATCACCCAAGTTCCTTACTATCTCTCCACTCTGCCCCCCAAGCAAAATATTTGCTCAGATCCTGCTTCAGCCTAAAGGTGACTCAATAACAGGAGTTTGGATATTAACACCAATCAGAGCCTTTAACCTCCCTTAAATTTTATACATCAACTTGGCTGGTAAACAGTTCATCAAAGTCAGAGTTATTGAGAGCTGAGATTACACAGAAGCAAGCAATCTCTCTCCCCCCAGCAGACCTATATGGTCAATGAGAGAAAATAAGGAACTAAACTAGGATGATCATGAAACTAGGGATATAAGATACGGAGTATGTGTTTGCTTCTTGGAAGGGCACTTGCGGGGAGTGGGGGTAGGGTGCTGTAGACAACCAGCCAAGGAAGACTCAGTTTCCACGCTAAGTCTGCTTTATGCTGTTCCGTGCTCAGAATTGTTTGCCGGATGTATGCATTACCTATTCAAAAGCACTTACAAACATTTAAAACGCAATAAAATATGACAAATGTGTTCTAAAAGTATAGACCAAGTTCTTTGAAGAGTACAAAAGGTAAACAATAAAATAAAAAAGCATGGGAAATGTATGAGTTTGCTAGGGATACTGCTAAAGTACCACAAGCTGAGTGGCTGAAACAACAAAAATGTATTGTCTCGGTCTGGAGGTCAGAAGCCGAAGATCAAGGTGTCTGCAGGCCCATACTTCCTCTGAGAACATTAGGGAAGGATCCATTCTCCTAGGAAGACCCCTGTCCTAGCTTCTGGTGGCCTGAGGTGTCCTTGGCATGTAGAAAGCCACTCTCCCTGTCTACCTTCATACCATCTTCCCTCTATGTGTGTGTCTCTGTGTCCAAATTGCCTGTTTATAAGGACATCAGTCATATTGGATTAGGGCTCACTCTTATGACCTGATTTTAATGTGATTGCCTCTGTTGGGATCCTATCTGCAAATAAGGTTACATCTGAGGTACCTGGAGTTAATGCTTCAACATATGAATCTGGGGAGTTGGGGGGCACAATTCAACCCATAACAGAAAAGTATAGAAATGCTTTCTGGAGAAAATCTATTCCTTGAAACAGTACTGACAGGAGACCATTTTAAGGCTTCTTTTCTCAGAACAATACTTTTTCTCAAGTCCTCATAATAGGCCTCCCCTGGACATTTTAATTCAGTGGGATGAGACCACATAAACTCGGTTTTGAGGAGCATAACTTGGAAAACGGTAAATGTAATACACGGCAAGCGCGTGTTGAATCAGGGAGCCTGGTATCTCCGTAACAGGCCATTTGTAATGCAGTGCACCCAGCTCTGGCTCCCTTCCCCGTGTAACTGCAAAATCAGCTTGAACACTTACAGGCAATTTCCATTCTTATGCTCCTGATATTGCATTTGTGGAAACATAAGGAGTCCCTAGTGGCTGATTCAACATGTACCAATTTCTAGAGTTTTACTTTATAACCAAATAACATATCCTGCTGAAGAGAGTGATGCCTCGTGCAGAGACAAGGTAATTTAAAAATCACGTTTAAGTTATGTTTACAATAAAAATTCAAGATAAAGTAATGTTTTCTTTCCGGTTGTTGTTACAAGGGTTGGAATGCTAAAAAATGCTAAAAGCTAGAGGAGAATCATGGAATTGTTGTACATCCATTTGGGCAGTGGTGGGTATACAGTACAGGTAGCAGGATTTTGCAATAGTAAGCCGTATGATCAGAAATTAATATGAAAAAGGCAATTGGAATTTTTAAAAATAATAGGTATTGTGGTGTATCATTAAAATTAATAAGTAAATTAAAATGAATATATAATATAAATTAAAATTAATAACTATTCCAAATATGGATATCAGTAAAAATTTTAAAAATGCAAATCAATCAAGAATTCCATTAATCATTGTTTTCAATAAGTTGATTTTGTTACATAAGAATTTAGTAATGTGGCACTTCAAATAAGCATGGGAAAAATAGATTATTGGACCCCCTTCTTCAAAGTATAAATGAAGATAAATACCAGATATATTAATTTTATACAATTTTTGGAAGTAAAAAAAATATGAGTCCATTAAGAAAATTAATCTACAAATGAAAGTATATAAAAATTAAAAATTTTTCCATGATAATGAGTTATAAAAATTAAAAGACAAAGAACAAACTAGTAAAAATACTTAAAACACATAAGGAAATAGTAAATTTTAAAAAAATAAGCACTCCAACAGAAAAATAAATGAAGGGCAGTGTGCAAACAAAGAAATGCTAATTATATGAATAAATAAATGAAACAAAGTTCAACTGCAACACTAATCAAGAAAAATGCAGCCTGGCCAGTGTTGCTCAGTGGTTACAATGTCCACCCATGCACCAAAGGTTCATGAGTTCGATTCCTAGTCAAGGATATGTACCTGGGTTGCAGGTTCGATCTCTTGCCCAGGTTGGGGTGCATGCAGGAGGCAACCAATCAATGTCTCTCTCACATTGATGTTTCTCTCTCTTTCTCTCCCCACCTCCTACCCTCCCTTCCACTCTCTAAAAATCAATGAAAAAAATATCTCAGGTGAGGATTAACAAAACAAAAAAGGAAAAAAGTACAAATAAGATAATTTTTTTTGACTTGACTAAGCATGGTAATCCCAACATTGGTCATAGTACAGAAGGTATGTAAAACTGGTACATTTCTATGGGTCAACCTGACAATCAAAATTTATGATGTCTTAGAATTTGATGTGTCCTAAGTTTATCTAGAAGGAAGCATCATGGATATATGCTGTAGCAGATGTGTCAGTGCCTTTACTATCCCTTATGTGCCTGCAACCTGGCTTCTCTTTCCTCTCGTGCAAAATGAGAGTGACAATAGTATCTCATAGGGTTGCTGTGAGGATTAAATGAGATAGTTCCTGTAAAGTGCTTATCCTGATGCCTGGCACACAGTTATAATAGTCATCATTATCATTATTAATATTAAAATATAAAGTTTAAAATACAAGTTTACAAAAACATAAAATTTATAAGAATATAAAAAACTCACACATATATTTATAGAAGCATAGAAAAATGGAAAATATATACAAGAAATATTAACTGTACATGTCTGGTGCATTTTTGCTATGTGCTTTTCTATATTTTCCTAATTATTTCTTTTGTATGCATGTGACAAGTTACTTTTTTTTAAAATTAAATCTTTATTGTTCAGATTATTACATCTGTTCCTCTTTTTTCCCCCCCACAACTCCC